TATATATATGTATGTATGTATGTATGTATGTATGTATGTATGTATGTATGTATGTATAAAGACTGCAAAGGCTGAAAAATCCTGAAGTCCACAGAATTACATTTTTTATGCTTTTTAGGCTAAAAATAGGGGATCGTATTATACATTTGATCGTATTATACATGAGATCGTATTATATATGAGATCGTATTATACATGAGATCGTATTATATATGAGATCGTATTGTACATGAGATCGTATTATATATGAGATCGTATTGTACATGAGATCGTATTGTACATGAGATCGTATTATACATAAATAAATAAGTATTAGTTCCAGCACAACTGTAGTTACTTTTAAAACCTAAGTTATGCTTTTACTTCTTTACTTTAAAGTTTAACACCTAGTTACTTGTTATAAATTTAATCTGTCTGAACTCATCATGAAAGGAGTTTTTATGTGCTCTAAAAAAAATTAAGTGTTGAATTTACTCAACTAAATCATATCAACTATTTCCACTAACCCAGTAGAGTAAATTTGAGGCGATATACATGTTTTATTTTAAATAAGCTGAACAATTTAACCAACTTGGTTTTGTTGAGCCAGTTTGATTCTGTAAATTTAACAGTTTATTTGAGAGCGTGGAAAAGTACTTTTACTTCTACTTTCCCAGTTTTTGTGAAAAGTTTTATGACTTTTACTTAAGTAGTTTTCTAATCAGTGACATTTATTTTTACCAAAGTCTTTTTCTGTTAAGGTATTTTTACTTTTACTTAGTTTTTTTTTTCCAAGTACTTTATAGACCTTTGTCACAAATACAGTTGGGTTCCATTTTTCCAAAACTATGTCTCTGAGGCAGCAGACCGTCTGAAAGATGACATGGTGTGTCTGGGTTTGGGAAACCCTGAGGCAAATGAGTCCAGAAGCTGGTTCTGATTGGTCCCACTCCTCTGGTTCTACAGGTGTCCAAGCCAGTGAACGGTGAGGACGTGAAGCTGAAGCTGAACCTGAGCAGTGACAGCAGCGTTCCCAGGCTGCTGTCCGTCAACATCAGCGTCCAGGCCTTGAAATATACGGGACAACCAGCTGGGAACATCCAGACTGAGGTGACGGAGCAGAAACTGCTGCCTGGGRAAGGTCCGTCTCTTYYTGCTCWYTTTGCYTTGATTTTTTTTATTTATTAAAACTGATTTAATCTCCTTTCCTCATTTTGTTTCTTCTCTTCCAGATCTGTCCATCCCCATCCTGGTTCCGTTCCAGACCTACCACAAGTACATGATAGAGTGTAAGAGCATGAACATCGCAGCCTTGATCACAGACCAACAGAACAAAGATCAAACCTACCTGGCTGAGGAACGCATCGTGCTGATGGACCCCCCTATCTCACTGACCGTCAGTAACCAAAAACACCTCATCAATCTGTAGAAACGTGTCTAACAGACCACCGGCTTCGGATGTCATCATCCTTGAAATGGACGTTATTAGGCGTTATCAGTCCCATAGAATGGCTTCAGAATGTCAGCTGGTTAATATGAGGCATGAAGCCACTATCTGGTTAATATGAAGCTTAAAAAACTGGTTAATATGAGGCATAAAGCCACTAAGGTTAACTTTAGAACAAATGACATGGTTAGTGCCAAAGACCCCACCTTCCAACGTTTGTATATTTTTACCTTCCAACAGGGCAATTGGTAAAGTGTCGGACCAGATGGTGGGAGTCCAGGGTTCGAGATCGACACGGGCACAAATAATTTATTACACTATGTTTTGGTTATTTACACATTCATTGTCATTGATATATTAACCCACTAGGGGGCACTGTCGAGACAGCCTGAAGCCTAGAAGGCACAGTAGGGGCCCTCTGAAGCCATTGTATGGGACTGATAACGCCTAATAATGTCCATTTCATGGACTGAAAACATCAGAATCCCCTGAACAGACTGTTGTCTCCATTAGCTGCTCTCAACACTTCAAACTCAACGTTTTAGAATTCATCAGACAGTCGTTTCTGTCTGTTAAATGTATTTATAATAATGTTACACTTTATTTTATCTGGTTTTGTAAAGCTGTGTGTGTGTGTGTGTGTGTGTGTGTGTGTGTGTTCGTTCGTTCGTTCGTTCGTTCGTTCTTTCCAGGTGCCCAGGAACGGTGAGGTGAACCAGGAGCTTACTGCCGAAGTGGTTTTCATGAACCCGTTCAACAAGATGCTGAGAAACTGCACCCTGACTTTTACAGGAAGTGGACTGTTACTGGGCGAGATAGTAATTACGTAAGTCAGTGTGTGTGTGTGTGTGTGTGTGTGTGTGTGTGTGTGTGTGTGTGTTCCATAATTTATTACCTTGTAAGGCCCATTTTATTGCGAGGCTCAAAGCCCAGGCCGAGTTCAAATGCCGTTGAGGGGTTAGGTTTAGGGTTAGGCTTTTTGAAATGAAGTTTATGCAAAGTCCTCATAAAGACAGAAAAACATACATTGTGTGTGTGTGTGTGTGTGTGTGTGTGTGTGTGTGTGTGTGTGTGTGTGTGTGTGTGAAGAATGCAGAAACATAATAGAGGCGTTGGACAAATGACAGCTAATTATCTTTACAAATAAATCATTAAGCTCAGCTGCCGTTTATAAACTATTATTATAATTAGCATTAATTAAATGTTTAATAGTAGCAAAAAAAACTAAATAAATTACAATCCTGACTCCTAAATCTTTGTATAAATGTAAACAAAATGTTGTCAAATATAAAAACATATAATGATTTGCAGATTTGAACACAGAAAACCCCTCAACTGTTTTAACTGACATCATCATCACTTTATTTGTATAGCACATTTAAAAATAAGTGTTGAACAAAGTGATTCACAGACACGATACAAAAGTAGCCAGAAGAAGAAAAAATCAATATCTGCCCCCTTTTTCCCAAATAAATAAATTCAAACAATAATAATCTTCAAATAACAAAATATAACAAAAACGTCAACTCCTTCTCAAACAACAGTCTTATACAAATTCATATTTCTTTAGCAAACTAACTTTTATTGTTCTCGTAAACAGATTTATTGAGCCGGCATCAAATATAATTTAAACAAATTCAACCGAGATTTAAAAGACTGAACAGACTCGGCAGTTCAGGTCTCAAAGGGCAAGTTGTTCCGGGGCCTTGGGGTCTTCCACAGCAAAGGCCTGGACTCCTCTACGCTTCAACAGCACTAAAATCATCTGATAGAGGATCTCAGTTCTGTTTGGGCTATAAAAGTGCAACAGAGCCAAGAAATAACTGGTCCAAACCATTTAAAACTTTAAAAGTAAGTAGTAAAAACTTAAAACCAATGTGAAAGCAAACAGCCAGTCCAAGTCATCTGAAGCAGTCTTTTTGGGGGAATCTTAGATTTTGCTTTGGCAATTAGACGTAGCTGATAAAAACTGGTTTTAACAAGTAAAGATATGTTTCTCAAATTCAAAAGCACCGTCTAAAAACACTCCAAGTTTCTTGACCACAGAGGAACAATAAGGAGCAAGTGGGCCAAGAATCCCAGGAAAACCATTAAGAGGAGAATGATTACCAAATAAAACAACTTCAGTTTTGACTTCATTCAAGGTCAGACAGTTCTGGGATAACAAGTCGTTGACGTCCTGGAGACATTTTAAAAGAGTGTAAGAAACGTGTGTTGAGAAACAGATGCCTTTGTTTGGTGAGGGGGATGACCCAGAGGAGGGCACTAGTAAATCCTCATCACGTCGGGGTCACCAAAACTGTAAGAAATACGTGTTCAATATCAACTGAAGTCAGATTAAACCACAATAGTTAAATAAATTGATTTGTAAAAGGAATAAGGTCATACAACACCAGAATTCTGGATCAGTGAGGTTTATTTGTCACCGGGCTGACAAGCAAAACCACATTGGACTCAAAGTCACGAAGTGCATGTTTTTATACACGATTCTTCAATGCCTGAGTTCGCCCCCTACTGACCTACGGCTGAATCACAGGCATTCAGACAAAGACCTCAATCTAATGTTTTAAAACGGTTCACTTATGTGTTGTTATGATTCGGACATGTATCTACTCTATTTCAATTAACACATAATAGATCAAACATTATACAAGTATTATAAAAAGGAAACCCTAATACTCTGGTGTTGTTTTCTAACATCAGTACTAATCTATAATAACCATAAATTACTTCAAGAGTCTGCAGTGGGACAGAGACATGTAGGGGTCACCTCGAGTGAAGAAACAGGAGTTACTGCCTCAAAGCAGGTCTCGCACGGGCCTGAGAGGAGGCAGAAACGCTGAACTCTTTTTTAGGCCATGATGGGTCATTTTAACCTACACGAGGACTTCAGTTCTCTCTAATCAGATATTAAACAGAAACAATCTGTTCTGTTCATGATTCATTGGTTGTTTAACTAAGAATGTTTAAGCATTTGTTAATCATAATGATGACTGTCACAAAGAAAGAAAGTATCACTTCTATTCTTTTATCGTGCCTAAAACAGATTAATGAAGCACAGAAAATCATCACCATGTTTTCATTGTGTTTTTATAAATCACTGTTTTATTTTACTGAAACATCAGTAATATAATTTTGAGTTTTCTTAAGAAAATCTTACATTTATCTGGACACAAGTTCAGACTGATTATTTAAACAGAGTGTTAATTAATCATGACAAATGTTTCACAGTGGTTTCTTTTACAGTCCAGGAAAAAAAGAAGCAGAGAAGATATTTTCATAATGTCTGTAAACAGCTAGAGCAATGGCCTTCACTGGCAACACTCTTCTTTTCCTTTCTGACTGGTGGCTTATCTGAGGGAGTCCACTCTGACTTACTAACACACGGACGCCTTAGACAGACTAAGCAGTCTTCTTCCTGATGCCGATACAGGAGGACGAAGCTGTTTCTCTCCGGAGAAACAGCTGGGCCTCAGGTTTGACTCAAGAGCCAATTAGAGTCGACCTGAAGCCCAGGGACAAGAGGCAAGCCGCCTTGATGTCCACCTAAGAGACCCAGGTCTCTTTTAAAGTGTTTTCATCTCCTGAGGGGAGGCTTTTATTTTGAAAGACGACCGAAACCACAGCTGGAATCTCTCTGGCCGGGCTGAAGCGGACTGAGAGTCACCTAAACGACACCTTCTCGCCAAGGACCAGTTCTGGACAAGCTTCCTGAAGGGTCGTGGGGAGACAGTCCACACCAGGGGTGTTTTAAGCAGACATCTCCAGGTAACGCTGACGTGTTGAGGGTGACGTGTCAAGTGGAAGCTGAGAGCTCAGAGGGGATGTGCTGAATCCGGTTGTAAACCTTTCAAAATATAAAACAGAAACACTAACTCTTAATTTCTTACCTTTTCTTACCTTAATCCTTTGCCAACCCCTAAGTGAAGTGCCAGCAAATCGTTTAGTTTTAACATCAGAACTGATGTTTTACTGTTTATATATAGGCAATCTAAGTTTTAATGTGAAAGAAATTCGGACGCGAGTTTTACCTCATTTTAACTTAGACGCTTGTTATAARTAGCTCACAATCAGGTGTAATTTATGATTTTGTTCAAATTGTGTAAATAAATGATTGCATAATCTTTTATGAATCAACTTGAACCAGTCTGAGTTCCCTCATTGTGTCACTTCCCTTTGCACAGACAAATATTAGAGTAATGAGGAAAACCTTGGTAAAAATTCACTCTCCTAACTTTGTTATGAGAAGATGTAAGGTAAGTTATTTGCATGAATAACTCATCTCTTACAGACATCTGAATCAAAAGGATGATAAACTTGGATGTCATCAGTGTAACTGTGGAAAGATATTTTGTGCTTTTTTAAATATTGCTCCCAACAGCAGCAAACAAACAAACAAAAAGGAATAGTTCCTAAAATACAGCCTTGAGGTACACCACAGCAAATCACAGTTGATGAAGATGAGTATTCCCCCGTGGAAATGGAAAATGACCCGTCTCCCAAATATGACTCGAACCGTGTTAAAACTGAGCCTTTAAGACCAACAATGTGTTCAAGTCCCGATCAAAGGATGCTGTGATCAACCAGTTAAATCTAATACAACAGAATTAACAATTAAAAGAAGGATGTTAAAAACCCTTAAAAGTGCTGTCTCAGTACTATGACAAGTACTATATAATAATATCATTAATAAATAAAAAATAAAAAGAATTTGATGGTAGAGACAGCTAAAACATGAGACAGGTTCATGTTTCCTCTTTTCTTTTAACAACAAAGATGTAGGAATAACAATGTGCTTTAAAACTTTACTGCTCTGAGGTTTGGTTGTTATTTATTTATTTATTTATTTATTTATTTATTGATTTATTTATTTATTTATTTTTGTTGTTGTTTTGCTAACAGACTCCCAGACCTGCAGCCAAGCAAGAGGGTCAAGATGCAGTTCAGCGTTGTCCCCTACAGGAGCGGACAGAGGACCCTGCTGGTGGACTTTCACTGCGACTTGATCAGAGACGTTAAAGCCAGCGGCACCATCGACGTCAAACCATAAATTCCTCTCATGTTCACTTTAAAACGAGACAAAGAAACTCGCTGTACACGTCTTAGAAATCAGAGCTGTAAAGTAACTAAGTACAAATACTTTGTTACTGTACTTAAGTAGAATTTTGGGGTAATTGTACTTTACTTGAGTAATTATTTTTCACTGTGCTTTTTACTTTTACTCATTACATTTTTACACAGTTATCTGTACTTTCTACTCACTAAATTTTAAAAAAAGGTAAGAAGTAGAAAGTCGTTACTCCTATTTTATTCTGAGTTGTTACTTTAAAAAATACTATCCTGATAAACTGTGTCTCCTGGATAGAGTGAATTTAATTGTGGTTGGATGAGAAGTATAAATAAATGCAGAGTTGTAAAGTAACTAAGCACAAATACTTCTTTACTGTACTTAAGTAGAATTTTTGGGTATCTGTATTTTACTTGATTAATTTTTTTTCAGCGTACTTTTTACTTCTACTTCTTACATTTTCACACAGTTATCTGTACTTTCTACTCCTTACATTTTAAAAAAAGACAAGAAGTAGAAATCTGTAACTGTTATTTGATTTTTGCTTGTTTTCATTCCAGCTTATTGTAAAAAATAAAAACTATCCATATAAACTGAGCCTCCTATAGAGTGAATTTAACTGTGGTTGAATGAGAAGTATAAATATATAAAACTCTGATAGTGTATTAGTTTGTACACAAACAAATCATGTCACACTCCAGCAGGACAGAATCATTCAAATAAAAGGACTGTACTTAAGAAGTATTTGTATTTCATGAATTATATTCTTACATTTGGCCGCAGCCCTCAGATAGATTTTCATTTTGGGGAAAAGCTTTGTGCAGCCTTGATATATGTATATAAACTGAAACAGCTGGACTAGTGCATCCTAAATTTAACATCCATTCATTCTTTTAATACAACAGTCATTTCTGCAGTTTTTGGGGAGGTCACCTCCTAATAAATGTCCTTACAGAAAATCTAACTGCTCATTTTAAATCAGTACTTTTACTACTTAAGAACAAACGTATCTTTTACTCAAGTAATATTCCTAAAGAAGACTTTCACTTTTACCAAAGTAATTTTTCTGGTGAGATACTTGTACTTTTACTCAAGTATCACTTTGTGGTACTTTATACGACACTGTCAGAAATGTAGTCAACTGCTAAGAGTGACTTACATTTTAAAAAGTGATTTGTTTTCAGCTTTTCTATTAAAGTGGATCTATTTGCCATTTTTGTGATTTAGCGAGTCTTTGTCTTTGCCTGACTTCTGTAAAGCTCAGACCGGTGAAGGACCCGGTTCCTCTCATCTCACCTGCTCCTGACAGGTTTACAGGTTCTCATTTTCCTCCAGTTTCCACCTGTGAATCCAGTAAAAGCAGTTTAATATCAGCAGCAGCCTCAGTCATCGTTCTGTCCCACGCTCAGCAGCCGTCAGGTCGTTGTGGAAATATGTCAGAGTTGCAACATGCATTCCTCAGAGACATGAGCTGGGTGTGTCGCAGATTTTAAAATCCACATGTGCAGAGTCACTTGTCAGTGTGCTGCCTGGTGCCTTTCAGAGCTGCTGCTGCCGTTGCTTCTTCGTACAGGGATCAGATCAGAGGTGACCATGAAACCGGACGGCTCCGATAACTCAGGTACAAAAATTTAAACTTTATCATCAGTAGTTTTGTTTTTAGATTATTAGGAGACACTGTTAGATGCATAGATAAATAGTGATGTAATCTAATTTTTAGGAGACACTGTAAGATGCATGGATAAATGATGATGTAATCTATTTTTTTTTGAAAAATTAAGATAAAAGCCTTTTTGTAAAGTTAAAGATTTAAAACAATTGAATATTCTCAGCTCACAGGGTCTCAGTGACTTCACTGGTTTCTACATCTGTTTAACGGCTCTGTTGTTTGTTAGAACTTTGTTAAACATAAAGACGGCCTTTAAATCTGCTCAAACTTGTAGTTCAGCCTAAAGATAAAGGCACAGTCCACAACAATCATAGGCTCTAAGTAATAAATCACACACGCACACTACACGCCTTAAAATACCACTTGACTAACCCTTTTCCTGCAAGGTTGCAGTTTGTGAGACTCGAAGTTTGTGTAACACACTTACAAAAACCTCACTTGACCAAAGTGCTTCACAACAATCACATCATAGCTGAGGATAAAACAAAAAAGAACTTAAAACAAAAATAAAATGTAGTAAAAATAATTTAAAAAAACTAATAAAATTGGCAGCAAAATACCAAAAAATAATACGAATAAAAACCAACTTCATTTCAGTTGCAGCAATTTTCCCAAAAACCCAAAATAATTAAAGTGTCTGTGACATGCCTATCATTCAAATACAAAAAGTCATAGAAAATATCTTCATATTTAAGATAATTGGCATTAACACATGATTTAACCCAATTTTGTCCCATAACTGGCATATTTTTCCTTTGAATTTGGCTCAGCTAAAGTGAAACAGGAAGTGACATCAAAGGGGAACTCTTTAAGAAAGAAAACTCCCTGCTCTTTGCTTTTTAAAACAATATTATTTGAACTCTGATTTTTCTTCATCTCTCTTTATAGGGACTAAAATCATCTAAAGAAACATCAGAAACTTCCCTTCTGTCTGTGTTGTTAGCCGTTGTAGCCATGCTCTGTTTCCATGCAGACATTCCCCTTTGACATCACTTCCTGTTACTTCACATGCAAATATCTCAACAACTGTTCATCTCAGTGGTGTGAAACTGCTTTTGCAATATGTTACCCATGTTATCTTTCCAAAAGTGCAACCACATTTATCACAAAAAACTGATGTCACGGGCACTTTAAGTTCTCATGTTCCTTAATGCTCTGACAGATGACAGGCAAACAACAACCTGCTATAATGAAACACTTCAGCTCAGTCAGGTTTGGTGATTTTCACTATTTGTACTAATCGAACACGACTGATGCCAACCCGATTTACTCGAGTTGTTGCACAAAAACCAACCGAGCGAGTCAGAAATTCCCAATGAATCAAAACTGTTTTTATTGGATAAAATTCAAGTCATGAAAACAGCTTTTAGTACAAGCTTTGATAATATTAGAATTTTATTTAGAATCAAAATCAGACTCGTTTATTGTCATTCACACACAACATCAAGACGCAGTGCAGAACGAAATTTCCAGTTTAGAACATCTGTCTGAAGAAAGACACACATGACAAACATGGGGGAATTAATGTCCAGGGTCTTTTGCAACATAGTGCGCTACGTTTGCACTTTAGAATACACACACATAGGGAAGGGTGAGTTAAAAAAAGAGCTTTGATCCTGTGTTTTATACAGAAAACACACAAGCATACACTCAAAAAAACTACTCTGCATAGAGCAAGTCAGCTAAGGATGGGAGGGGGTGGGGGAGTCAAAAACACATGGTATGGGGAAGGGTTCAACGGAGCCGATGACATCCAGGGTAGTACTCCATGTTGGAACCAATCAGAGATCTCCAGAGTCCAAACAAGTTATCAGTCAAAGCACAAGTCACTATAGTTCAGTTCTCTGTCTCCACCCAACGCGGCCTTCAGACCGATCTAAGCACGGATGAGAGGGGTAGTTATGGGGGGGGAATCAAGGCTTCCTTCTCAACCTTCCAGGGAGGTTTTATCAGCTTGCGTCCAAGGTCACAGCTGCAGGGATCCAATGATAAACATAATTATTTAGGGCCAAGCCGCCTGATTTCACTGCTTTAAGTCTTAACTGCACCTCTGTGTTGCAAAATGCCAATATTCCAGATTCGTTTACCACCTCGCCTCTCACCGTATGAAACTTCACCCACGTTTAGCCTCACTCCTCACGGGCATGCAGCTGAACTGTGATCCTCGTCAGAACCATACTGTATATATCAGTCCAGTTTGTGACTTATCCCCCAGCATCTGAGTCTGTGCGTTTGCAGTACGAGAGATCCCATCCACGGTCCCTGACAGCTTTTCACAGGCCCGGACTGCTGTCAGGATCATTTTCATTTTCTGATGAACCAGGACTCCCCCACAGCCAATCAGCAGGAATCTGATTATCATAAATCCGAACATAAACACATCTTCAACATCCTCGATGGAGAGCGGGGTCAGGCAGACGAGGTTCCACCCCCAGGACCCAGACACACAGCCTGCCGCGACAGCTCCACTGGGACAGCTGCACTCCCCTCGCTCCGATCTCAGAGTGGAAAAAATAGTGTTGATTGCGTTCAGAGACCAGTTGACCAAATCCACGATTCTTTTGTTATTGAATGATGGGTAGAAGAAAGGCTTGACACAGCTGCAAAGCAGGGGTAAAGGGACAGGTTTGGGAGAGACAGCAAAAAGCGTCTGACTCCTCTGAAGGCCAAGCAGAAAAGAAAAAACCATAAACCATTAATAAAACAATAAAAAATGTAAAGTATCAGCATCAGCAGGCAATAAAATTGAGCTTATTTGTTGTTTATTTATATAGATAGTTACAAAACCAAACAATCAGATCTAAATCCCCCTGAGGGCAAAGTATTATGTAATAACATGAACGAAAATTCCCAGACAGAGCTCAGTTTCACACCTTTCAATTATAGCAATTAGTTTTACAAACCAAACCCAAAGAGACATGCAGGTGTAACCAGGTGTTTCTGTGAGAAAAGGCTTCCTCTGCATCACTCTCCCATACTGCATCTCCTTGTGTAAAGTGTGCTGAATAGTTGAACGATGCACAGTGACTCCATCAGCAGCAAGATGATGTTGTAGGTGTTTGGTGCTGGTCTGTGGGTTGACTCTGATTCTTCTCATCATCCTTCACTTCTGTTTATTCCAGATTTGTCTTGGTCTGCCACTTCAATCCTTGACTTGAACTGTGCCTGTGGTCTAACATTTTCTCACAATGTTTCTCACAGTGGAGACTGAAAGATGAAATCTCTCAGATAGCTTTCTGTATCCTTCCCCTAAACCATGACGGTGAACTATCTTTGTTTTCAGATCATTTGAAAGTTGTTTTCAGACTCCCATGCTGCCACTCTTCAGAGATGCAAAGAGGAGAAAAACTTACAATTGCCCCCCTTAAAAACCCTTTCTCATAATTGGAGTCACCTGTGTATGGAGGTCAATGCTCACTGAACTTAACAAACCAAATTTAAGTTCTAATAATTAGCCCTAAAGGTTTTGAAATCAATAAAATGAAAACGGTGCTCAAATTTATACACCTGCCTAATTTTGTTTAACCAATTATTGCACACTTTCTGTAAATCATATCAACTTCATTTCACTTCTCAAATACCACTATGTTTGTCCCCTATATGATGTATTTAACTGATTTTTTTTATCCAAAATATCAATGATTTTTTAAGGTAAATCAGGAAATTTAACAAGGCTGCCCAAACTTTTTCATGTGACTGTATATCCAGTTTATTTTTTATAACAAATTTATTCATTTCATTTAAAAACAAAACAAATACATACAAAAAATAATAATACAACACAAATAAAATGAAAGGTAGCAGAAAGAAGAAAAAAATTCCAATTCTAATTCTCAATTTTTATCTGCCAAGCTGAGAGCAGACTGTTGGGCTTATTTACCTGCCTGTCAGCAAAACAAAACCAACACCTCATCTACAAACGTGATGGTTGAAGCGTGCAACAGAAGGACCTGAGAACCGTTCAGTTTAGCAGCGTCTTTTAGATGAATGTGTTTATTTGAAGTGGTAACAGTAAAGCTGTGGTTCAGTGGTCAGTTCACACCCAGCTGAACTTTTACTCCTATTAAGAAACAGTTTAATCACAACCAAACCTTTCTCCTTTGACTCTTCCCCTGCATGAAGCAGTTCTCCCCACTCTGTTTGCTTTTGTTTCTGTGCTTCGATTTAGTTGCTCAACCAACTTGGATGAAGATTGCTTTTTGTTTTAACGTATGATGTCAAACACTCCCCGAGACTCTTACTCACAAGTTTAATGTGTCATTATTGCTTTTATTTGTGCTCTCCTGTTTCCTGCTGCATTTCCACACCTACACTTTCATTAAACGTCAGCCTCAGGTTGGTGTGATGAGTGTATTTGGTTGACAACCCACCCTGGTTTCTGTCGCGGTAACACGAAACATCAGCAGACGTCTGTTGACTGACAGTTTCTCGAGGTGAAGTCAGATCGAGCCACTCCCTTTCTGCATCCGAGTGCAGCTGAGCTGAACCCACACAGAACAGGTTGAGTAACCTGGACTTCTCACAACATGGATCTCTCTTTAGGTGTCACAGAGTGTCGAAATCGTTGGGTCATGGGTGTGTAAGTTTACTAGCAAACATAAACTCAGTGACTTCTTTATTGGGTTCACTAATACTGCTCATTGACACAAATAGTGAATCAGCCAATCATGACTTGCTGAGTTTCAAACCAAGCAGATCAGAGAAAAAGTAGATTAACGTAACTTTGAGTTTGGCCTGGTTGGTTGTAATAATCTGAGACCAGCCAGTCGGACACCGACAACATCACGGTCCAAGTCCGTTAATCCTCTTTCTGATGCTCAATAATGGAAACTTTTATTTTATATTTTTAAAAAGGGTTAATCTAAATTATTCTTATATCTGCTTTGTCTTTTTTGCGTCAAAACAAGCACACATAATTCCCACTTTACTGCCAGAAATTGATTTTTAAATGTATGTTTTTACATTTTTCCCTTCTTAGTTTTTAAAGAGGTGGACCTTCACTATGAGAGAAACAACAACGAGCACCACATCAAAAAAAGAAGTGAAGTGAAGAAGCTGATTGTGAGGCGAGGCCAGTCCTTCATCCTGACTCTTAAACTGGCCCAACCTTTCAGCCCTGATGTGGATCAGCTGACCATGACTGCCTCCACAGGTTCAGCTGTTTTTATTAAATATCGTTACAGGACTTGTGCTACAAGCGAGTCTTTAAAGAGTTAAATGGATAAACAGAGAGTTGTTGTCTGACTCCTTCAATGGCTCCTCTCTACAGGAGACCAGCCCTCTGAGGACCGGGGGACGAWGTCTTGCTTCGGTGTTCCAGACAAAGTGAAACGTTCAGCTTCTGCTAAGGCCGTGTGGAAGGCGGAGCTTCAGAAGACCTCCTCCWCCCAAACAGGAGTCCTGATTCTGACCCTTACACCCCCAGCTGATGCCCCMATAGGGGACTACAAGCTGTCAGCTAAACTTAAGGAGRAGGAGAGTTTGTTGGCCAACCTGTATGTGCTCTTCAACCCCTGGTGTCCTGGTAGGTTGGATGTTTTGTCCTCCGTGTCCAACCTTTTGTGTCCACTCAGTAGACAAAGTTAAAAATCATCTGATCTGTTTCTTCGTAGCTGACTGGGTGTTTCTGCCTGATGAGGCTGAGAGGCAGGAGTATGTGATGAATGAGCATGGAATAATCTACAGAGGATCTGGTAATTACATCTCTCCAATGGACTGGGACTTTGGACAGGTACAAGGACAAAAACACACAAACACAAGGCTTGGTGATGATTTATAAACATCCTAATGGTGATACAATTGGTTTTGACAACATTTCTATAAATAAAAATGGTAAAAATGTCCACTGTCTTCCTGTCCAGTTTGAAGAAGACATGGTGGAAATTTGTTTGAAGGTACTCGACCGGAACGTCAAACACACGCGTGACCCAGCTGATGATGTCTCAGCTCGCTGTAACCCCATCTACGTCAGCCGAGTCGTCAGCTCCATGGTAAATTCCTTCACTTAAATATTTTTGACCTTTACCAAAACCCTACAGTTGTTCATGATTTAGAAGGATGGTTGAACCCCAGGTGCAAAGTTGAATGATTAAAATAAAAATAGGTTGAAAAAAGGACTTTAATAATAAATCCAAAAATGCTGGCATGGCAGCAAAAATCCAAGACTGTGGCAAGAGAAACACTGTGGCTGTGGAGACCGGGAACAAACTACAACAAACAACAATAAAGCTCTGACAAAGACTACTACTACCTCTTCTTCTTCTTCTTTTAAATTTCATTGGTGGATGGCAAACTAACCTAAGGTGCATTTACCGCCACCTACCATACTGGAGTGTAGACCTGACAAAAACAAATGACAGAGAACAGAATATAAAGGAGAAACTAATGAGCAAAAACAAGAAACACCTGGGAATGAAACATGAGAAACAGGTGAAAGTGGGTGGGGTTGGAGCAAAAGACAGGCAGGAGGAAGTAAACAGAGAAGGACAAGACAGAAAACCAGAGTGCAACCAAAACAACACATGAACACAGACACAGACCACGACAACAGTGCTGTAATCCATTATGTTAGTGTAATCACTTGAATCTGCTTTTAAATTTTTATTCTCACATCAATATTGTAAGATGACAAAGTAATAACTCTTCTTTCCCCTCCTTCCAGATTAACAATGCAAACTATGGTGGCGTCCTTCAAGGAAATTGGTCAAACGACTTTAGAGGCGGAGTACCACCCTCTCGCTGGAGTGGCAGTTATGCCATTCTTAAAAAATGGTACAACCTTTTCTACAGTCCGGTTAAATTCGGACAGTGCTGGGTGTTTGCTGGCGTCATGTGTTCAGGTAATTTCAGATTCTTTGTGTGGATTAATCTGGATTGAGATGGTTTTAGTTCAATAACATCTAAGGTTTTGGTTGTTTTTTTAAGCTAACCTAACCCTAACTAACCATGTGGAGGAATGTGAAGTTCCATGATGAGTCCAGATTCTGCCAACAGCAGTTTGATTGTAAAGTAAAAGTTGCTGATTGCTGCACTGATAGAGTAACATCGTTTGGTGGAGGCAGTGTGATGGAGTGGGCCGGTGTGTCCCTCACTGGAAAAATCAGGCTTGTCATCATTGGAGTCCATTTCAATGCATCAAGATATAGAGATAAAATTATGCAACTAATCGCAATTCCATATTTTCACAGTCTGATACCAAACTCTAACCCCCAAGATGATGACACTCACCCCCACAGAGCATCGTATGAATGAGACTACCTTCAAAACTTGGGAGTGGAACATTGGCTGACTTGTAATAAATGCTGGCTGAAGAAGGGGATGCCAGTGTGTGACCAGGCTGCTAACTAGTAGGAGCCAGGCTGTTTGTGGCTGTATATGGTTCTTCCACATGCTACTGAGGCTCTAGTTTGTTAAATGAATAAATTGTCTTGTTTCTTCGAACCTCAATCATCCAGTCCACCAAACTCCAAACAAGTTGATAGAAGAATAAGATGTTTGGCAGTGGCAGAGAATACTGCTCTACTGCTCATCCCAAAAATGCATGTTCCTTACAAATGTGGCACAATTTAAAGTGTCTGTGACATGCATATTCTTCAAATACAAAAAGTCAAAGAAAACATCTTTATATTTAAGAAAGTTGGAATAATACACGGCAATAATCGGCAGTCCAAGCGGATTCGCTGAGGCAAAAACTCGGGCGTGGGAGGAGTTCGGAGAGGCCATGAAAAAAGACTTCCGTACGGCTTCGAGGTGATTTTGGTCCACCATCTGGCGTCTCGGGGGCGGGGGGTTGCCACCAACACTTTTTATGGTGGGGATGGTGCGCTGCTGACCTCAACTCGGGATGTTATGGGTCAGTGGGCAGAATACTTCGAAGACATCCTCAATCCTACCGATACGTCTTCCCATGAGGAAGCAGAGCCTGAGGACCCTGGGTCGGACTCTCCAATCTCTGGTGCCGAGGTCACCGAGGTGGTTAATAAGCTCCTCGGTGGCAAGGTGCCAGGGGTGGATGAGATTCACCCTGAGTTCCTTAAGGCTCTTGATGTTGTGGGGTTGCATTGGTTAACACGACTCTACAACATCGCGTGGACATCGGGGGCAGTTTCCCTGGATTGGCAGACCGGGGTGGTGGTCTCCCTTTTTAAAAAGTGGGACCGCAGAGTGTGTTCCAACTATAGGGGGATCACACTTCTGAGCCTCCCTGGTAAGGTCTGTTTGGGGGTTCTGGAGAGGAGGGTCCATCGGATAGTCGAATCTCAGATTATGGAAGAGCAGTGTGGTTTTGGTCCTGGTCATGGAACAGTGGACCAGCTCTACACCATCAGCAGGTCCTTGAGGGTGCATGGGAGTTCACCCAACCAGTCTGCATGTGTTTTGTGGACTTGGAGAAGGCGTTCGACCGTGTCACTCTGGGACTCCTGTGGGGGGTACTCCAGGAGTATGGGGTACCAGGCCCGTTGATACGGGCTGTTAGGTCTCTGTATGGCCGGTGCCAGAGCTTGGTCCTCATTGCCGGTAGTAAGTCAAAATCATTTCCGGTGAGAGTTGGACCCCGCCAAGGTTGCCCTTTGTCACCGATTCTGTTCATAACTTTTATGGACAGAATTTCTAGGAGCAGACAAGGTGTTGAGAGGATCCTTTTTGGTGACCTTAGGATCACATCTCTGCTTTTTGCGGATGATGTGGTCCTATTGGCTTCATCAGATTGTGATCTCCAGCTCTCACTGGAGCGTTTCGCAGCCGAGTGTAAAGCGGCCTGGATGAGGATCAGTGCCTCCAAATCCGAGACCATGGTCTTGAGCTGGAAACCGGTAGCATGCTGCGTCCAGGTCAGGGAGGAGGTCCTGCCCCAAGTGGAGGACTTTAAGTATCTTGGGGTCTTGTTCACGAATGAGGGAAGAATGGAGCGGGACATTGACAGGCGGATTGGTGCTGCGTCTGCAGTGATGCGGGCGCTGTACTGGTCTGTCGTGGCAAAGTGGGAGCGGAGCCAGAAGGCAAAGCTCTCAGTTTACCAGTTGGTCGGTCTACGTTCTTACCCTCACCTATGGTCACGAGCTTTGGATAGTTACCGAAAGAACGAGAGCTTGGATACAAGCGGTTGAAATGAGTTTCCTCTTCAGGGTGTCTGGGCTCTCCCTTAGAGATAGGGTGAGAAGCTCGGTCATCCGGGAGGGACTCAGAGTAGAGTCACTGGTCCTCTACATTGGGAGTAGCCAGTTGAGGTGGCTCGGGCATCTGGTTAGGATGCCTCCTGGACCTCCCTGGTGAGGTGTTTCGGGCATGTCCCACTGGGAGGAGGCCCAGAGGAAGACCCAGGACATGCTAGAGGGACTATGTTTCTCAGCTGGCCTGGGGACACCTTGGGATTCCCCCGGACGAGCTGGCCCAAGTGGCTGGGGAGAGGGAAGTCTGGGTCTCTCTGCTTTTAAACTGTTGGGTGTGTTTGATTTGTAGTGATGCGCCTGCTGGGAATCCCCTGCCGTGTTGTTACCAACTACAAGTCTGCTCACGACACTAACAAGAACCTGACCGTCGATACCTACTATGCAGATTATGGTGTTCGAGAGAAAGCATCCAATGACAGCGTCTGGTGAGAAGCTCTGATGTTTTACTTTAAAAAATGAACAAACTGAGGAACGATAGAACTTGATGCATGTTTTATTTCTTTATTTGTTTTCTGAGAGGGTTGATCTGTTTTCATTCTGCTTCTGTTTGACTTACTGATGTGTCACATTATTACCAGAGTTACAGACTTATAGATATAAATCTCCATCTTCTCACACTCGTAGTCTGAATGTTGTTTTAAGGAACTTTCACGTCTGGGTCGAGGGCTGGATGAAGAGACCAGACCTGTCAAAAAATGGCAAATATGATGGTTGGCAGGTTCTGGATCCAACTCCACAGGAGAAAAGTGAAGGTACCAACAAACCTGTCCCAACGTTGTTGTTGTTGTTTACATTCCGTCACTACATCCATATATTCAGGTTTGTGGCAAAGAAATGTAAGGAAATGACTTCCTGAGTGTTTCCAAAAGTCAATGTTGAGTTTAAAATAAAGTTGTATGTTTTATTGGTACAAGAAAGTACTAAAATACCTGCAGTGGGCTGTACAAAAGTATCATTAGTACATGTATAAAATACTCTAAAGACTCTAAAGACCATATAAAATTGTAGTAAAGCTGTTTCCTTTCATGTATTTATTTCCTGGTTTGTTTTGTGTCTGCAGGTATGTTCTGCTGTGGTCCAGCTCCAGTCTCAGCCATCCGCAACGGAGATACTCATCTCAAATACGATGTGCCGTTTATCTACGCTGAGGTCAACGCCGACTGCATTCACTGGCTGGTTAGTGGGCTGAGCTATGACCTCATCAGAATTTGTCATTGTACAGAGCACAGTGAAATACGTTTCAGTACAACCCATCCAAGAGAGACAAAACAATGGGGGGACATGCATGGGGTAACAAAAACAACAAATAGCAAACATGAGGGGTGGGGGGGATGAGGGATTAAAAAAAATCTCATACTGTGTCCCTGTAAGGACACAATATGAATTTGCAAAAAAAAAAAAAAAAAAAAACTCTGCATAGAGCACATTTAAGCCAGCAAAGATGGTGATTTGAAGGGGATGTGTATCTGAAGCTGTGGAGATGTTGTTTTTGCATGTGTGAAATCAGACCCCAGACACATGGGAGCCAGATTCAGATAATCACAATGTTTTGGTTCAGGCCGACTGTTGATTTTACGCCCACCTTAAAGTCTCAAAAAAGTCTCTCAATGGTGAATTCCAATCATCTGAATTTCTTGGTTGTTCTCGCCTCACCGAGCGTACCACTTCTCCAAGATCTATTCCATACCACCAGCGAGCTCAGGGACCACAGCTGGCCTGCAACCCTCAGCAAGGATCACCTCCAGTTTAAGATTCTGCTCCAACAGAGTCTGAGTGTTGACAGCTCGGCATATTCCATCAGGCCGGGCAGAATTAACGTGGTCCGAACGGCTGCAGACACTTTCTGAATTTCACGACAGGCCAGGTATCCACCAGCTCCAATAAGCAGAAAGCCTGTTATCAGTAATCCAATTATTTTAAAATCTTCTACGTACTCGACCGACAGTACAGACCGGCACATTATCTTCCACTCATCCCAGGAATCCATAACATGTCCGGCAGCATATGTCCCATCAGGACAAGAGGGCTATATCCTTTCCCCAATCTGGAGAAAATTTGATCAATAGCGTAGAGAGACATACTTTTTTATTTAGATCCACCAAAAGCTTAATCCTCAAAAAAGGAGGCACATCTATTCTGTAATCTCCCTTTGACCTGGCTGTTTTTGTGTTTGTTCGGTCAGGTAAAACGTGACGGCAGCAAACAGGTTATTTCTTCTGACATCACGACAGTTGGACAAAACATCTCCACCAAGTCTGTGGCTTCTGACAAGAGGATGAACATCACTGATGCCTACAAGTACAGAGAAGGTTGGTTCAGTTCAGATAAAGAAACTCAGGAAACTCTTTAACCTTTTTATAGGACAAACATAAATTTCTCTTTAGCTCAAAATCTGTGAAACTGACTGAGTTTCATCCACTCTTGTGTTTTTGTTTGATTTCCACCATAAACAGGAACAGAGGAGGAGAGAAAGGTCTTCAAATATGCCCTTGACAGGTTAGAGAAAGAAGTGACGGGGGAGGTGGACGTTGGTGGGAGTTCTGACAAATCCCCAAACCCGACGAGTGAAACCAACACTGGGGGGTCTGCAGGTATCGAACATCCAAATAAAGAAACAACCTCCCCTGAACCACCACCGCCACAACTCCTGCTTCACTTTCAAGATGTAAGTCTGACATTATTACAACTCTCTAACACATTCTCACTCCTGACTCATCACATATTGACTCTTGGTCAGGTTCCCTCTGCGTCCAGTTTTGATGCATCGGGTAACCTCCTCGAGTCAGTTACTGGTGTATGGATTTTTTCTAGGTTTGCTACACATAGGGTCTTTGTGTCGGGGTCCGTGGTTAATATTATGGATCAGGATTACTGGTTAATTTTAGGTTGTGAGGTCAGGGATAGGATATCTAGGGCTAATAGAAGTTAAATTTAGGGTTTGGGACTGTTAGTTGTCATGCATTTTCTACACTAAAACAGTCTCCTCCTCCTTGTTTTCATCTCGTCATCTGATCCCACTCCTCTGGTTCTACAGGTGTCCAAGCTAGTGAACGGTGAGGACGTGAAGCTGAAGCTGAACCTGAGCAGTGACAGCAGCGTTCCCAGGCTGCTGTCCGTCAACATCAGCGTCCAGGCCTTGAAATATACGGGTCAACCAGCTGGGAACATCCAGACTGAGGTGACGGAGCAGAAACTGCTGCCTGGGGAAGGTCCGTCTCTTCCTGCTCTCTTTGCCTTGATTTTTTTTATTTATTAAAACTGATTTAATCTCCTTTCCTCATTTTGTTTCTTCTCTTCCAGATCTGTCCATCCCCATCCTGGTTCCGTTCCAGACCTACCACAAGTACATGATAGAGTGTAATAGCATGAACATCGCAGCCTTGATCACAGACCAACAGAACAAAGATAAAACCTACCTGGCTGAGGAACGCATCGTGCTGATGGACCCACCTATCTCACTGACCGTCAGTAACCAAAAACACCTCATCAGTCTGTAAAAACATGTCAAACAGACTGTCGTCTACATTAGCTGCTCTCAACACTTCAAACTCAACGTTTTAGAATTCATCCCAAATTTCAAAAAACATTTTTAATTTTATTGACAACATCACCCATCCATTATTTTCCACTTTATCCGCGGGGGCAGCAGCTTGATCAGGGAAGCCCAGACCTCTCTTGCCCAAGCCACCTCTTCCATCTCTTCTGGGAGGACTCCAAGACGTTCCTAGGCCAGCCGAGAGACATAGTCTCTCCAGCGTGTCCTTGGTCTTCTTCGGGGTCTCCTCCCAGTTTGACATGCCTGAAGCATCTCCCTAAGGAGGAGTCCAGGAGGCATCCTTACTAGATGCCCAAACCACCTCAACTGGCTCCTCTCGATGTGGAGGAGCAGCTGCTCTACTCTGAGTCTCTCCCAGATAACTGAACTTCTCACCCTATCTCTAAGGAAGAGTCCAGCTACCCTGCAGAGAAAACTCATTTCGACTGTTTGTATCCTTGATCATGTTCTTTCAGTCACTACCCAAGGTTCGTGATCAAATGGGAGGGTAGGAACATAGACTGATTGGTAAACCGACAGCTTTGACTTACAGCTCAGCTCCCTCTTCACCACAAAAGACTGGTAACAGAGTCCGCAAAACTGAAGAAGCTGCACTGATCCGTCTATCAATCTCACGCTTCATCCTTCCCTCCCTTGTGAACAAGACCCCAAGATACTTGAACTCCTCCACTTGAGGCAGAACTTCACCCCCAACCCGGAGAGAGCAATCTACCCTTTTCCGACTGAGGACCATGGACTCAGATTTGGAGGTGCTGATCCTCATCCCAGCCGCTTCACACTCAGCTGTGAACCACTCCAATGAGAGTTGAAGATCCCAGCATGATGACGCCAACAGAATCACATCATCTGCAAACAGCAGAGATGAAATCCTGAGGCCACCAAACCGGACACCCTCTACCCCCTGGCTGCACTAAGAAATTCTGTCCATGTAAGTTCTGAACAGAATCGGTGACAATGGGCAGCCCTTTGCGGAGTCCATCTCCCACTCTGAAGGGGTCTGACTTACTACCGGAAATGCAATCCAAACTTTTGCACCACTTGTATAGAGACAGAATGGCCCGTAACAACAGACCTACAATCCCATATTCGCGTAGCACCCCCCACAGAGTACTTTGAGGAACACGGTCGAATGCCTTCTCCCAGTCCACAAAACACATGTAGACTGGATTAGCAAACTCCCATGACCCCTCGAGGACCCTAGTGAGGGTGAAGAGTTGGTCTAGTGTTCTATAGCCGGGATGGAACCTGCATTGTTCCTCCAGAATCTGAGGTTCGACTATCGATCGGACTCTCTTCTCCAGTATCCCTGAAAAGACCTTACCTGGCCAATCCAGTGGCCCTGCCCCTGATGTCCACACGATGTTGCAAAGGCGTGTCACCCAGGACAGCCCCACAACATCCAGAGCCTTGAGAAAATCAGGGCGAATCTCATCCACCCCTGGATCCCTGCCGCCATGGGGCTTTATATCCACCTCAGCGACCTCAGCTCCAGTTATGGACAGACCAGCCCCAAAGTCCGCACTCTGCTTTCTCCATAGAATATTTGCCGGTGGGATTGAGAAACTCTGAGAAGTATTCCTTCTACCTCCTGACAACATCACTAGTTGAGGTCAACAGCACCCCACCTTCACTGACTTCACTGACTGTGTTAGTGAAGTGCTGCTTCTCCTGCCTCAGCCGCTGGATGGTTTGCCAGAATCTCCTTGGAGCCGATCGAGAGTCTTTGCCCAAGGCCTCACCAAACTCCTCCCACATCTGAGCTTTTGCCTCAGCAATGGCCATGACTGCAGTCCGCTTGGCCTGCCAATACTCTTCAGCTGCCTCCGGAGTCCTACCAGCCAACAAGGCCAGATAGAACTCTTTCAGCTTGACAGCCTCCCTTACCCGGGGTGTCCACCACCGAGTTCGAGGATGGCCACCACGAGACACACTGACAACCTTGTGGCCACAGCTCAAGACAGTCGCTTCAACAACTGAGGCGTGGAACATGGCCCACTCGGACTCAATGACCCCCGCCTCGGCTGGGATGTGGGTGAAGTTCTCCCGGAGGTGTGATTTGAAGATCTGTCTGATGGGTTCCTCTTATCTACTGGGGTAAACTCCAACACACAGGCACCAATTTGGGGGGCCAAAACTAAACCCACACCAGCTCTGTGCCTCTCACTCTGGGCAACTCCAGAGTAGAATAAAAGCCATCCCCTATCGGGGAGATTGGTTCCGGAGTCCATGCTGTGCATTGAGGTGAGCCCAACTATATCTCTCAACCTCACACACAAGCTCAGGCTCCTTCCCCACCAGAGAGAATGTCCTAAGAGCCAGTTTTGGTAGGTCAGGGTCAGAGCGTTAAGGTCCCCGCCTTTGGCTACTGCCCATGGCATCATGCACCTGACTCATACGGACCATCCTGCAGGTGGTGGGCCCACTAGAAGGCAAACCCATATAGTTCATTCGGGCTGGGCCTGGCCAGGTCCCGTGGGTAGAAACCCGGCCACCAGGTGCTCACCGACAAGCCCCTCCCCCAGGCCTGGCTCCAGTGTGGGGCCTCGGTAACCCACATCCGGGCAAAGGACACTGAGTTCCTTGATCTGTTTTGTCCATTGTCTTGACAACATCAGTGTCTGTAAAATGTATTTACAATAATTTTACACTTTTTTTTGTTATCTGGTCTGGTGAAAATACTGTACCGGTACATGTGTTTGTGTGTTCCAGGTTCCTAGTGAGGGTAAAGTGAACTGTGGGTTTAAAGCTGAAGTGGTTTTCACAAACCCGGTCGAAGAGATCCTGAGAAACTGCACCCTGACTCTTACAGGAAGTGGACTGTTTTTTGGCGAGGTTGTAACTAAGTAAGTGTGCGTGATTATTTACAACAGTATTTGATTTGTACTGTACATCTTTATTTTCCTGCAGTTTGGGTTTTATTAATTTTATTATTTACACACAGCTGACTGAACCTGATTAATTTTCTTTGCTTGCAGACTCCCAGACCTGAAGCCAGGCAACAGGATCCGGATCCTGTTTGACATTGTTCCCTACAGGAGCGGAGAGAGGACTCTGCTGGTGGACTTCGACTCTGCCTTGTTCAGGGACATTAAAGCCAGCTGCAAAGTCGACATCAAACCATAAATACCTGTGCTTATGTTACATTTTAGAATAGATTTGCCAAACTTGAAATTTAACGTGAATTTTCTGCAGGAAATCTCTCAAATGCAGCTTCTGATTGGGAGCTTGGAAATATTTTCATTTTCTTCCTCTTGGTTGAAATAGGTCACTTTAAATGAGGTAAATATGTATGCAAATACTTATTTAACATTTCATTTTTTTTGTCTAACTAGTAGAAATGTGATTTTACTTTGACATTAAATGATGTTTATTGTTTCTATTATTATTGTTGAGCAAGCCAGTTTTTATTGACCATGACTGACTTATTATAATAATAAAAACATAAAACATCCAAGTGGTTGAAAACTTTTTATAAACTGTAGAGACCCTCACACATCATTATTCCAAAAAAAAAAAAAAAAA